AAACGTCAGTAGAAAAAAACTTTTTTCTACAACTGTCAAAAAATGATGAAGTTCGCACACTCATGACAGTTTGCGAAGTGAAACTCTTTTTTCCAGGTATTGATTTTTTAACGTTCCCATGACGGCGTGCGCGAACTAGCTATTTCGCACACTAGTGCGCGAAATAGCTAGTTCGCACACTGGTGTCATGGTGACACATACCTGTCAGGAAACCAAAAATAATTAAAATTCACCTACCTTTGATTGAGAATGCAATTTTGGCTTCGAATAATCGATATTTAAATGGAGTTGTAGAAAAAATATTGTTTGCAACTCGGGCGCGAAATACTTTGGTGATTTCAACTTTTTTTTTAACTCGGCTGCGCCTCATTAAAAAAATCAGATCTCGATCACCAAAGTAGCATTTCGCGCACTAGATACAAAAATAACTATTCTCGAGCACAGCGTGCGTAAAAAACTTTTTTCGCGCAGGCCGTACGGTAAAATAAATTTCATGCACGCAGTGCGGAAAAGTGGTACTTTCCGCACGCAAATCAGTGCGTAAAAACGCGTTTTCCGCACGCTCGTAGGAAAAGGTTTATTTAGTCACTGTAATATTTAATACCAAAGACCATATACATACCTATTATACTGACGTATTCCTATTTACCTAATGTGCGGATTTTGGAGCCAAGAAAGAGAAAAAGAGGTACATGATCTCTCATAAGTCTATCTTCGTCAAATAAAGTAGAACGAGGTTATGAACTGCGCATGCGGTAAATGCTAGATTCTTATCGGCCGGCGGTTAGCATTCTGTAACATACTTCTTGTGCGGCGTTGTCAATCAAGTTGAGGATATCATGCGTCTTTCGAGTTGCTGTTTCTCTGGTGGTTACTTTATTTAATTTCTTTATGACAGGCAACCCTGCAATATCAGCTGCTTAAAATTGATCCTTATTGGTGGAATAATTTCATATTAACGCAGGCGCATTAGAAAACAAAATTCTTCCTAGACAAAGATGACTTTCATCTCATATTGTTTGCTTCACTAGTTCGAAACAACCCGCAATCAGCGTTGCCAGATGGAATGAAAAAATTTCGTGAGAATCGAGAAAGAAAAATCGTGAGAAATCGTGAGGCTAAAAATTGCTTAATGGTAAAAGAAAATGAAGCATAATAATATATTTTTTTTACTACTAACCTGAGAAGTAGTCATTATTCAATCTATTTTTCTCGGAAAAAATTGAATTTCTCTCCCTAGGTTAATAATGAAAATAATGAAAAAATACCTAGGTCAATAATGAAAATGACATCATGACGCAAGGATATTGTCATAACTTTACAGGTTTCTATTGATTTAATTTCAATTTCAAACTGTCAATTTAATCAAAAAAACAGGTTCCTGTATGTATCATAGGAAATTACCATAGATGTTGATAGAGGGCAGCACTTTCAACTAGAAAAAATAATTTGAGCTCAGATTTCAAACTTAAAATATTTTCTACTATAGCAGTAGTAAAAAAAATTCTATATATTCCACGGTAGAGAAATTCATTATATACCTTACGCATTATAAACCTCGGCGCTACGCGTCTCGGTTTATAAAAGCGCTCGGTATATAATGACCAACTTCTCTACCTAGGTATATAATGTACTATTTATAGATTTTTGATAAAGTAAACATGATTTTAAATTCATAAGAAATAAACATTTTATTATTAAATCTCTTGTATCCATGTATTTTCCGTTTTTTAGCATGTATTTCTGGAAGCTGAGCCTCGTTTTCAAGTTCACTATCCGCAGTGACGCCACCACTATCAGCTGCTGATAGTGGTGACGTCACCCGCAGACCTCGATGAATTGCTTGCGATTCAGACTGTGCTTGTGCTTGTGATTTTAACGTTTAGGAATTCATTTTTTTGACCTATAGTGTTTTTAAACTCGGATAATGCATTTTACGCCAAGAGTTGTGGTCTGAGACTGACATGGCAGACACTTTCACTTTTCAGCTCAATAAGCAGTCCTATTAGGTTAAGTTTTCTTGGGCGAGCGGCGCGCATGTACCAGGCGTAACATAACTAAATATTGTATAGTAGATTTTCATTTCGGTTAAGCAATATATTTAATTATCGATTTGTAGTACTACAGAGAGAATTCGTAAGAATTGCTACCTCATTCGTGAGATCGTGAAATTCTGACCAAAATCGTGTAATCTTACGAAAAATCGTGAGATCTGGCAACTCTGCCCGCAATATAAGTCAGTATGAAGGTTCCTAAAGTTAATAGGTTGTCTGGTAATGGTTTTAACTTGATGACGCATCTGGGGTGCCTAATGGGGATTTGCATTATTTTGAGGCACCCCAGATGACGTCATAAACTTATCCAGGCAACCTACACCTCTCTCAAACAACCTTGCGTCAGTATGATAGGTATATGGGAAAGACGCACCTTTCTTTAGCAGCATAATCATCGGGGTTCTGGGTTAGGTGATTATCGTGCATGAATCTTCGCGGAAGCCAAATTCAAATTATCCAGTAATATCCCATGTTGGTGTAAGTATAATGACTGATGATGATTTTTTTTTTCCACATTCCTTTCATTATCTAAAAAAATAGGGGCCCCAAAAAATGTGTCTTAATCCGCCTCTGGTTCAATGTAGGTATTATTTTCCTAAAGTTTAGAGCCCGATATTTCCAAAACGACTTAATTAGAAGTATGTAGTTAAGCCATATACAGGATGTTCATTTTTAAACTTACCAGCCCTATTATCTCGAAGTTGAAAAGTTTTTCAAAAAATTCCTGGAACACGTCAACTATAATTTGAGGGGGGATGAGTTTTTATGCAAAATTCACCTCACCCCCCCCCCCAGCCCCCAGAGCCATTCCCTAGAAAATCTCAAATGAAAAAAGGGGTCAAGGGTCAAGGGTCAAGTGATACATCATTTTGAAGGGTTTTTAATTCCATACATTTTGGTACTAAACTTTAATCCCCAAGTTCAACTGTTTTGGAAATATTGATAGTTGAAAATTGACTCGTTTGCTACTTTGACGGGCTGTAAAACTTAAACGGTTAATTTTAGAGGAAAACATTCTTGTCTTAGATTTTTATAAATTATCATTTGACATCAACTTTGAATTTAATCCATGATCAAAAATTCCGGTTAAAAATTTATTCTCCGGTTAAATTCAAAGTTAGTGTCAAATGATAGTTTATTAAAATCTAAGAAAAGAATGTGAGATCGGTTTTCCTCGAAAATTAACAGTTTACGTTTTACAGCCTGTCAAAGTAGCAAAAAAGTCAATTTTCAACTGTCAATATTTTCAAAACAGTTGAACTTAGGGATTAAAATTTAGTACCAAAATGTATGGAATTAAAAACCCTCCAAAATGATGTATCACTTGATCCCCCTTCCCATTTAGGATTTTCTAGGGGGTGGCTCTGGGGGTGGAAGGGGGGAGATGAATTTCACATAAAAACTCATCCCTCCTCAAATTATAGTTGACGTGTTTCAGGAATTTTTCAGACAAATTTTCAACTCCGAAATAGGGGTGGTAAATTTCAAAATGAATACCCTGTATAGAGTGTTCTAAAAGAAAAACCTGACTATCTGTTAAAATTTGACATTTCTAAAAAAAAAAAAAAAAGTTTTTGACATCGGATTCGAAAATTTCAGGCAAAACCACAAAACTTTTGTATGTATTTACAATTTTACAATTTCCTGATATCTCTTCACATATTCTTGCAGTCGGGGGGTCTATAATATGGATAAAGACCCTGTACTAAACACTAAACCGTCAATTTGCATCAGCGATAAATTTGCAATCTGCTGAAAATTGTACTTTTTTTATTGCCTGCTCGTAGGAAAGATTGTGTTCCTAACACTCGCGGAAAGTAATTTTTTCACACTCGATTGCTGTCCGAACTGCGCTTCGCGTCGTAAATCGCGTGCGGAAAAATTATACTTTCCGCACTAGTTAGGAAAATAACTATTGTATTTGTCAAATAATAAACGGCTAGGTTCAAGTTTTTGAGACACAATTTTATTCATTCATTTGGAATTCGTTTGTCGCTACAGGCTTTTTTTGTCTACCTAATTTCTGAATGAATAAGGTTTAAAATTTGCATATGGCACGAGTTTGTTTATTTATCATTTTTTTCACAATTTTTATAGTTTGATCAACTGATTTAGATTCTTTCCTCAGCATAGTTATAGCATGGAATTTTTGATGGTCACCTTTTCGTCTTTGTAGTGTAGTTAGTTATCTTGCCTTTGGAAATGTTCTTTTCCAGTGACTACAAACAGTCCTAGGTTTAACTAACATAAAAGATACCAGCTGTGAGTCAAGTACAGTCCGTCGTTTTTAATCTAATACTCCCAAAGAATTTGAGCTGATGGCTCCCAACGTTAGAACGCCAATGGTCACCTGACCTCACACTTGTTTTTGCCATGTGCTTCACCCTCTCGCTCCTCATACGGAAAGTGTCAGATTAGAAACGACGGACGACGGACAATATATTCAACTTGTTCTGTTGGATAAATATTCCACTATGATTATTAAATAGTAACTATGTATCCAATGCATTGATAAAGCGATCAAACACACCTTTCACCAATGAATTTTCATATCAGTAATTTATGTTTTTAAATAACTCTTTCGGGACATTCAAATATAAAAAACAATATGTATTTATGCAAGCTAGTTGTCATAAAATTTAAATTTTTATTAGTTTTTGCAGTAATAATACATTTAAGTTCTTGTGTGAAATGCAATTAACATTTTTCTGTAATAGCAAGTAATAGGTATTTCAAAAAGTGGACTGTCTTTCCAACAGATTCGCAAAAACTGCACCACAAGCGTTTATACTTGAAAATTTCTCTTCCAATAATTGTCCCATTATCATAAAAGTAGGTGTGCAGTTACAGTCAAGGTTGAATAACCCACTTTAGCTCTTTTACCTTTTAAATATATAATTATCGTCACCGTTTCAATTTACTCAGCTTTTCTTTTCTAAATTGCAGATTGGTCGGAAGCTGGTTCCACAGCAACACTGCGCGGCTCTAGAATTACTACCGCAGAACGACAACATCATCATTTGCCGTCATATTTGAGTTTAGCTTGTACAGTCAACGGATATTCCACAACGACCAACTACGATTCAGTACGTCTTGCAAGGTCTCGAGATGCTTCTCCACATCGCATCGATTCATCAGGAAGTCATTTGATAATGGATCATTCCCATCAAGGGACCTACGCAATTACAAACAATTTATTATCACCTCCAAACTTAGTGCCTCTACCTACTCCTAACGTTAATAGCAAAATCATGACAGATAACGCTCTAAGGACTCACCATCGCCAAGAGTTTTACAGCTCTAGCAAAACGATGACGTTCCTCACCAAAGAATCTCATCAATACTCAAGCAATATTTATAATACGAAAGATAATACTGATGGCTGTATACAAAGAAAATTAGTTTCGTACGAAAGCAAAAATATTTCTAGTTTAAACGACCAAAGCAAATGCATCATCGAAAGTTCTACAGTGAACAAAGAGTACACCAATGGCAAAGAAACCAAATCAGTTATTCAACAACGCGTGGAACGTTTGTACGGCCCTGGGGCTTTGGCGCAAGGATTTTTTGTATCAAGACGTCAAAAATCACGCCTATCGGAGTCTGAAGAATCGAACAAAAGCTTAGAAATGAGTAAACTCAACCAAACTTTGCCCGACAAGTTTTCAGATGAAGAAAATATCGAACCGACATCGATAAAGCAAAGTACCAGCAGTCCTTCTTTGCCAGTATTAAGGCACTTGAGGCCAGAGTTTCGAGCTCAACTACCATTGGCCAGTCCTAGAAAGGTGGCGGAAGTACACATGCAGAAGAGTATAACAGTTCCTAAGTTGAAAGATGAACTAGTGAAAGTGAATGGAAATTTGGAGGAAATTTGTGAGAAAAACGGGGAGTTACCAGTTATCAAACAGAATGGAAGTATTATTGCTCAAGTGCCTATTAAAGAAGAATCAAGTGAGTATGAGTTTTGTATTTATTTATTCCTGTGAAAATGTCGATTTTTTTTTTTTTTTTTAATTTTGGGCAACAATATGAAGCAAAGGGGTACCTATGTGGGTGGCTTTGTGAACTGAAAGCGGTTGAATTTCAAAGAAAATTTTTTGACGGTTCTTACAGCCAATTAAATGTGACATAAATCACCCAATCATTTCAGCATTATACTGAAATCAGCCCCCGTTTTCACTCTATAACATTGCCTCGGACATTGCTGTCAACAAAAAAATCTATCTAAATAACCCTTGAACATTGATAATAGACCGGTGCATAACGACCATTTTTTTAAAACAATTTTCTCCCGTCTGCCATTAAGGCTGGTTATTCTTTATGCAGTAAGAAGTGGAATGGCTGAAATTTCAAAGAGCCCCGCGTGTGATATTACAGTGATATACTGATTTGAAAATGTAATGAAAAGTGAAGATTTGGATCAATATTATCCCGTCTGCCACACATTGTTAAGGTAATTTAAACAAAAATGAGTAGAAGGAAGCTAAACGGCGGAAACCCTAGGTTAGTATAAAGTGTCATATCACTAATTTCAAAATGTCGCCAATATCGGACATGTAGATCAACGACCTCCCGTCTGCCAAATTAAATTTAGGTTGCATTTACGATGTATGAGATCAATAAGGAAATGGCAGAAAATCTCGGTTTTTGAAGTTGTATCAAAATGCTGAGATGTTGAAACTATTTTCTCCCATCTGCCATTTGGAAGATAAGTTTGACATGCAAAGTAAAATCCAAGAAATGTATTGGCAGATGTAACCAAGGTATATTAACAATTGGCAGAAACAATAAAAATGTCAAAATTTTTCAAAGTTGAGATCAATTTTTTCCCGTCTGCCAATAATTTATATTAAATTAGCTACTACCAAAGGCTTAAATTTCGACTGGCAGAAATTGCAGACTGATACAGGTTCTTATAATTGATGAACAAAATTGGCACAAAAATTGTTCATGTCATGAACGTTTTAAGCCCGTCTGCCGTTTGTTTCAGTGAAATGTAGTTATGAGAATATGCATATTCTGAGTACGGCAGAAACCGCAATGAGCTACATACGTTGCACAATTATTGTTAAATTGCGAAATATGTTTATGTGTCCAAACAATTTTCTCCCGTCTGACAACCGGTTAATTAAAATTGAAGTTGCTCTCAAGACACCTAAATATGATAAGGCAGAACAATAAAAAATTGTATCTTTAGGAAAAAAAATGTTTTAATCATCAAAATCGTCAAAAACAGCATCGCCATTATTATCATCAGCATCATCATTATCGTTTTCATTGTCATCTATCACTTCGGAGTCACTTCCATCACAACTGATGTCACCTTTTGCATTATCATCATCATTATTGCGATCATCCAAATTTGATAGATCGCCAAAATATTTGTTTTCATTAATTTCTTCTTCACTTTCATCCTCATCAGGAAAACCTATACACTCCTGGCAAGTGAACATCTTACATGCCAATTTTAATGCGATAGAATGAAATGTTGAAAACGATTTCCCCTGTTCCACCTCCAGCAAAAAGCGGTGGAGATGCTAGAGGTGGAACAGGGGAAATAGTTTTCGCTCTCTATTCTAGACTTTCTCTAGACATTTTATTCTATCGCATTAAAATTGGCAGGCGATATGTTTAGTTACCAGACGTGTATGTGTGATGGGCATTGAAAAAAAAATTATAACTTGTATGTGAGATTTCAAACATTTGTACATAAGCAGTCATTTTGCCTTTTGATAGGTATTCAGTTGTTTTGATAGTAACTCTACTCAATTAAGTTGGCAGACGGCAGAAGATTGCAATTTAACAACCATGTGCAACTTATATAACTTATTGCGGTTTCTGCCATATTGAAAATATGCATATTCTCATAACTACATTTCACTTAACCAAATGGCAGACGAGTTAAAAACGTTCATCATATGAACAATTTTTGTCGCAATTTTGTTCATTGTTTATTAGGACTTGTACCAGTCTGCAATTTCTGCCAGTCAAAACTTAAGCTTTTGGTAGCAACTTATTTGATATAAATTAATGGCAGACGGGAAATAATTGATCTCAAATTTGAAAAATTTTCACATTTTGAAAAATTAAAAATAAATATCTGTACCACTTCAATTTTTCTGCCGGTGCAAAGGTACATTATTTATCTAAAATCCGTTCTAACAAAACATGTATTAGGCGGGAGAAAATTGTTTCAACATCTTAGCATTTTGATACAACTTCAAAAATTGTTAAATATTATTATACCAACCAAGATTTTCTGCCATTTAGTTATTGATGTATTACATCGTAAATGTAACATAAATTTAATTTGGCAGACGGGAGGTTGTTGATCCACATTCCGATTTTGGCGACATTTTGAAATTAGTAATATGACACTTTATACTAACCTAGGGTTTCCGCCGTTTAGCTTCCTTCTACTCATTTTTGTTTAAATTACCTTAACACTATGTGGCAGACGGGATAATATTAATCCAAATCTCCACTTTTCATTACATTTTCAAATTAGCATATCATTGTATTGTCACACGCGGGGCTCGGGGCTCTTTGAAATTTCAGCCATTCCACTTCTTATTGCATAAAGAATAAACACCCTTAATGGCAGACGGGAGAAAATCGTTTTAAAAAAATGGTCGTTATGCACCTGTCTATAAATGCTCAATAGGCATTTGATGGTTTGGATTGAATTTTTCTCAGTGGCACATGGAGACGCAGGTTACACAGGCGACGCAGGGTAGGGCAGAGCAGATTTCTGTATGCAGTACAATTTAATAGACACGCGCGAATTGGGAGCCAGTGTGGGGCAGCACAGAACTATGTCCGAATTAACCTGCCTGACGCAGTGTTCCGGACACAGTTTCCTGCGCCACGTGCCTGCAAGTTTTTCATTTTGATTAGCGGTTTCCTGGAGTTCATTTATTCAAGTGTATGATTGATAAATATTTCCATGGAAGAACAATTGATTGAATTTGTGAGGGGGCATACCACCTTTTACGACACCAACGATTTCATATACCTAGTTGCTTTTCCAAAATGATTTTTTCCTCTTTGAAATGTTGTATAATAGAATAGTGCGGGGGGCCGAGGACCTTTTTTCCAAATCATTAATAACAAGCTAGTTTTTTCAATGCAGCTTCATTTCACCGAGACGCCCAACTTTTTTCTCACGAAAATTGCGAAAACAGGTAGCTAACATACTGCGCAGGTGTAAAACATGTCGATTTGGTGACTATAAAAATTTAATCAATAACATTTAGTTTTTTAGCTAAATGTTGAGATAATTTTATGAATAATTTGATACAACCTTTGTCCGACAAAATAAAGGGTTTGGTCTACGATGTCCCCACCCTCAAACATGTAGCAATTACGTTGCATAAAAAATGATTATTAACAAGTTGATTTTTTCAATGTAGGTTGGTAAATATTATTACAATTAAATAGTCACTCCTACAAATAAACAGGTAGCTAATTTCAGTCCTACACTCAAAAGTTGTCGATTTCACGATTTAACTTTTTTCATTAATAACCGGCTAAATCTTCGTGAACATCTTCATTTTGATAAGACGCCCAAATTTTCTTTTGCCAAAATTCCAAAAACAGGTAGCTAACAGAGTGCGCAGGTGGAAAACATGTCTATTTGGTGATCATACAAATGTAAATAATAACAGTTAATTTTGTAGCGAGATGTTGAGATAGTTTCATAAATAATATGAAACAACATTTGTTCGACAAAATAAATGGTTTGATCTAGGCTGTCTCCCTTCTCAAACATGTAGCAGATACGTTACATAAAAAATGATTTATAACCAGTTGATTTTTTTAATGTAGCTTAGTAAATATTTACTACAATTAAATGGTTACACTGTCCTACAAATAAAGAGGTACATTTCTCCAGTCCTACACTCGAAAGTTGTCGACTTCACGGTAATACTTTATTCATCAATCACCGGCTAAATCTTCTCGTATATTTTCTATTGCGAAAAGTTGCAAAAGTAGTAGTTACTAGAGTGGGCACTAGTGAGCAGATGTAAAATACCTTGATTAGGTGATTATGCAAATGTAATTATTAACATTAACAGTTAACAGTTAATTTTTCAGGCGAAAAATGGGATAATTTTATAAATAATTCGAAATTCGATTTGAGCCACAAAATAAATGGTTTGGTCTGCAGTGTCCCCTTTCTCAAAAATGTAGCAATAAATGGCTCATAAAAAACGATTTATAAGCAGTTAATTTTTTTACTATAGTTTGGTAAATATAACTACAATTACATGTCTATCAACTTAGCGAGACAACTTCGGAAAATCGATTTTCCGTTATGCCAAGAATTTGCCGCTTTTTTGCCGCTAATTAAATGTGGAATTAAAAAATTTGCCGCTCTTTTGGTTTTTTCTTAATTACGTGTTTTGCTAACTTGACGTCAAGATAGAGAGACAACATCATTAAATATGTCAGCAGTAAAAAATTAGGTAGATGAAAATTTGCCGTTTTTTTTGCCGCTAATTAGTTGTGTAAACCAAAAATTTGCCGGTTCTTTTTTTTCCATATTTAATCAAGTTTGAAAAAAAAAAAATCATTTGTTTCGCTAACTTGACGTCAAGTTAGCGAGACATTATCACTAAAAGTGTCGGTAGTGAAAAATTGAATGAATGGAAATTTGCCGTTTTTTTGCCGCTAATTAGTTTTTTTTTTTTTTTTTTTACGGATATGCGCACTCGCAAGGAAACGTCCTATCACGCTCGAGAAGCGGCAGTTGTGAAAACCAAAAATTTGTCGCTTCTTTTTTTTACAAAAAATCAAGTTTGAAAAAAAAATCATGTGTTTCGCTAACTTGGCGTCAAGTTAGCGAGACAATAGAGAGTTTTCGTTGTATTGGCAAATTCGAACGGTTAACCATAACGGATACGAAAACAAAGCCGCTATTTGACAGATCGTAAAAATAGTTTTCGTTC